ATCTTATAGTATCTTAGTGTTTCCCACAGACTGAGAATTTAGTTGTGATGGTGGGTGGCCTCGCATGCAGGTAAATCCTACAATTTACCGGTGTTCCCTTAACGCCTCACATGCATGGTAGACATTAGCTGTGCACATAGACGCCTGTTGTCTCCACTCAAGTATTCCAGTACAGCAACTCGCAAAGTGTGTGATCAAAATCTAATGTCAGAATTACCGTCGATGTAGGTAGATGTTCACCTGACAGATCTTGGGTCACATGTTTGACCAAAATGGTTGGTTGGAGCAAATGTGGAGTTTTGCTTATGTATCAGGAGGTTACAGCACAGCGTGACCCCGTCATGTTGTTGGATTTTTAACAAGGTGTTACAGAGATACCAGGAAGAACGGATTTGTCAACATGGGTCGCTTGTTAGTGATACCGGTGGAAATCTGAATAGCTTATTACTGCAAAAAAAAATGAAACCTGGCTTTTGTCACAGTACAGTGTTAAGCAAAGGTTTAAATTCAGAAATGGGTCCTCTTTGTATAGCACGTTTTTTCTGTGTAAATAAAATCACCTCTTGGCTAACTCGGGCTGCAAGGTGGAGCAGTGGTTAGCATTGTTGCCTCGCCGCAAGAAGGTTGCCGGTTCGCATCCCGGTGAGGACACCCTGCGTGGAGTTTGCATGTTCTCCCCGTGCAGCGTGGGTTCTCTCTGGGTTCTCCGGCTTCCTCCCACAAGGTCCAAAAACATGTTGAGGTTAATTGGTGATTCTAAATTGTCCGTAGGTGTGAATGTGAGTGTGCTTGGTTGTCTGTCTCTAAGTGTAGCCCTGTGATAGACTGGTGACCTGTCCAGGGTGTCCCCTGCCTTCACCCTGAGTCAGCTGGGATAGACTCCAGCCCCCCCATGACCCTAGTGAGGATTAAGCGGTGTATAGATAATGGATGGATGGATAACATTGCAGTGCATTTACAATACTTGCTGTGATTACGAAACATATTTTTAAAGTATTGTGGTCGAAAAAGTTGGTGGAAGCGGTAAAGTTATTCTTCATCCTTTGCTTTGCTGAAATGTGTCTGTGCTCACTTGAAGAGGTTTTGGACTAATGCACTTAATAGGAGATGGAGGCACCTTATTGGAATAAGTTTTGCTGTAGCGAACATTTTCTCTGTGTTTGTCTCCTGACAACCAATACCAGCTGGCTTGAAAGAACAATCTCACCTTGCACGATTCAAAACAGTTCTTGAAGATCTCTTTCCATTTTAGATGACAATTTTTTGTTTGTTTCCTCTTTTTTTTATAGCTTTTGGGCAGTTGGCCAACAGCTGGTTTTGTTTCCAGCTTCTTCTGCTCTGTTTATCACAGCCATGCTGCCCATACCTCCACCTTCTAGACACTAGGGCTGGTCCGAATAGCAAATTTCTGATCAGCTAATGTTAAAACCCTATTGAATATACCCACAATGTAAGAATAAATGCAAAATGGATAAAATCATGGAGGTTAGGTGTCCTGTCCACCCCATCGAACATCCAGTGCACGCTCATATTGGATTCCAACCAAGTCCCCATAACATTGTGTTCCAATGCAACTCAACCGCGTTATCAAATATATTTTGAGGGAAATGTACTTTTTTTTTTTTGCCAGATTACGTTTGTGGTGCACCATAAATACTTTTCTAATCAACATATCTTTGCCATTTGTTTTCTTACTTCACCGTTGTTGCTTTTCAGCCAATCAATTAAATATTAGACGGGGCAGAACTTTTCACATTGGTAACCCTGAAAATGGACAAAAAGCTTCCAACATGTACAAATATGCACCCAAACCATGATTTTTTTCCCCTAACCCTAACCAGGTAATTTTGGTGCCTAACCTTATCTGAGCTTCTAACATGTAGAAGTGTCTAACAAAGCAAGATATTTTCTCAAACCACATTTTCTGTCCTTAAATCTAACCAGAAATTGTGGAAACTGAAAGTTAGCAATGATGGAAAACGAAACAAGGACACAAACTCTGATGTTCTTGGTGAAAGCCAGGTTGCTGGTTTATGCCGCCCAGCACTGCCTCCCATCGTGGACCTTCAGACTGGCTGCCTTTCCTACCACGCCACGGGTCACAAATTGCATTTATTTCAAAACAAAGCTACATTCCCATTAAAATGTAACTGTAGTTGAGTTGTGTACAAACATAATTTTGTGCATTCAGTCACTGTTAACAAGGAACAAAAGTGATGTGGTTCGGAGGAGCAAAACCAGCGTTTTGGGGGAAGGGTCGTTTCTCAAAGCAAGGAATCAGGAAGTCTGCCTTTTTTTTGTGCTGTCAGTGAAAAACTTCCCTTGATTTTAATTAGCCTCCCAATTCATGCAGCCAGCAGGACATCTGAGCACACAGCAGCATTTAAGCTCTAAGGCCAAAGGTCAGCAGTGGAGGCAAACCGAAGGCAAAATGTTTAATTAACAACAACGTGATCACGTCAAACTGTGCACGCATTTTTCTATTTTCTAAGGTAGTTTTTGTCATCGCTACTTCAAAGGGATGTTTGAAGGTTCGAAGTTGGTTTTAGGGTCTAATTTATTATTTGTTTTAAGGGCTGGAGAATGTAGTATTAGTAGGCCGATGAGGGACTTCACAAGTATGTAATTAGAAACGTATGTGTGCGTGTTTGTATGGATGGGATGTTGAGGTACAGTGGCTGCTAATAAGCAACGCACAACTTGTACAACACACACACACACACGCACACACAGCTGGGTGTCTGTCTGATTGGTTTCAGGTGTTGCATGTGTGGTTGTTGTGTGACCACAGCCTGACACCTCTGTAACAAGCATGTGTGCTCGTGTGTGTATGTGTGTGTGCAGGGCAACATGAAAACAAGGTCAAAGCTGTAAAACAGTCAAAGCCGAAACACGGCTTATGAAAATCTGTGTGTCGCGACACAGAAAGGGATTCTGGGTAACTGTAGCTCACTCCAGTTGACACCTCAGCTTATCTCGCCACTCATCACGTGTTACTTTACCTGCAGTCCTTTGTGTTAAATGGAATGGGTGGAGCCTGGAGGGACGTCTAAGTTCTCTCACTTAAATGTGGAACCAAATGGCTGATTAGTTTTTGTGGCCAGCTTTTAGTCTACAAATATCAAATCCAGCTGATTTTTTTCCTGCTTCTTAAGCAAAATTTGAGCCATGAAAGTGAACTAGATGCTCATTTTGTGTACCGCATGTATGTCGTGATGTTTGTACTGTGCTCCTCATTCGTCGCCTTGTTCTTGTTAAGTGGTTGTGCACTCTTTATATTTTTATTTTTTTATATTCGCTGTTCAGCCAAACACAGTCAACACAGCAGCTGTTCTTCTTGCTGTCAGGAGGATGACTGCTTATTTCCAGTGTGGTGTGTGTCCACATTTTGTAGTATGTATAGTGTGTGTAAGTTCCTTGCTCTAATTTTGAGCCTGTAATCTTCTTAACCATGATTTATTTCCTTGTGCATTTGAAGTATTGAAGTAGAGAAAGCTATTTGAAACAGCTAAAAAAAAAAAACATACCCAATTTTGTAAAATGCTTTTTGTTTTTTTTTTTACATTTTTGAAAACATGCACATATTAATTGAGAAACTGAAACATTTTTGCCGAACATTTAAGCTTCAGTATTGATCAGTTGACTCCGTCATCTCTGGGAAGCGCAAAACATCTGCAATACCAGCTGACACGAAAGAATAACTACCAGTCTGCCGATTGAAAACCATTCCTGTACACTTCTCAACATTTTTCTCTCGCAGATCACCAGCATTTAGTTTTTTTTCTTCTTCGAGATTTTTTAGTCTCAGCTTCTTCTACTCCATTTATTACAGACATGCCTCACGTAGCTTATACTGCCACCTGTTGGTGACACAGTGCATTCTAATTTATTTGCTCCAAACAAACCTAATTTTCTTCTTTCTTTGGGGCATTTTGAATGTTTGCTTCAAATTCACTTGATAATGATGGAAATGCGGCGACTGAAACCTTGAACTGGCCTGAAGGGATCTGGTGTCTTGACGAAGTGAGCAAACTACAGGTCGTTGTGTTTAAGCCGGTTAGTTAGAGGAGTGTGCAGAATGTTAGCAGACTTGAAGCCCTTTCAGTTGTTTGTTTGGCGTGGAATGAAATCCTTGTTAACCAAAATACAGTACACCAACTAACCTAACATTCTGCTTAACATTGACAATAGAAAAGGTTATCTTTACTTTTTACCTTTACAAAAACAAGCCTAAAAAAACTATTTAAAAAAGACAAAACATTAGAAAAGATGTTATAAAATACGATTCAAATGCCGGTCTATACAGGTCGGTGTTAACTAAGGCGCTGACTCAGCTGTTCTAACAGTCAGGGGGAACCTTTTCTGCCCAGTGCTGCTATTCAAACAGTAGCATCAATAACAGTTGGTATTTTACACTTCATAGCAGGTCTTTGCTTTTAGCTCCACGCCGAAGTCGAGGGCACCAGTGTGTCAGCAGTTTGCAACAAAAATCTGCAACTCAAAACAAGTTCATTTTTCAGTTTTGCTTGTTGAAGGTTGATGCTAAAGCGTGGAGCTACAGAAGAAACAAGTTTCCTTCTGAAGACATAAGATTTTATCTGTAGCTCAAGATTCTTCTGGAGCTCAGCGTTGTTGTGCTCAACTACAATAAACAAAACTGAAATAAATGTGTGACTGGGGTAAAAATGGACGATGCTGACTTTGATGTTTGATTGATGGCCCATACATGAGCATTTATGTAGACACTTTCAGATCCTCAATGGGATCAACCGTCTTCAAATTTATTTTGTCATAATTGTCTTAACTTTGTTATGTCATGGACAGAAATGATGTCGTAAAACAGACCCAGCTCGTTCAAACGTCAAACATTTGCCTAATCTTTGTGAGTCTGTGGTGGAAATACAGAAAAGAAAGTGAAAGTGCTAAACTAATCTGTGGATAGGGATGTTAGCCTACATATGATTTAGCTGATTTTAATTCTTCTCCTTTCTCTTTCACAGGCGCAGTCTGGTGCAGATGGAGGCCGCAGGTTGGCCGTCGCCTTCAGAGCTGATAGTGAGTTTTTCTGTAACCCTTTAAATTCGTAAAACCTGTGACATTTTCGCTCATTGTGGCCTCGTTTCTCATTGTAGCATAAGGTCCTGCAGCTCTATGGATTCAGTACATCCATGGCTAGAAGTAAAGAGAACTCTAAAGTGCTTTTTGAGCAATATGACACAGTTATATTGTCAAAAAGCACACAAAAAAGAAACAAAAAAACTACAGTTAAGCTTAATTATTTTTTAAAAATGGCAAAAACCTGTTGCACCTGTTGTACGTGAGTATGTACAACTTTTTCCAAGTGTCCAGAGGTGTTACAAATACTGGAAAAAATGGAGAATCTACATGCTATCAATATGACTTTCATGTTTGATTTGTTTCCATACTCGTCTCTTATCTGCTCTGTGTAAACACGGCCTGCAGTTCAGCTGAAAAGTTAAACAAAAATAGAAAATAGAAATTGTCACGTCTTGTGGTTATAGCTGATTCAGAGGTGGCTTCATGATTGTGCAGAGTTGTGCACAATTGTTAGTTCTTTAAGGGAAAGTGGTTTATTTTTGGCTTTTTTTTAACGAGACATGTAGTGAATTGGATCAAATATCTTGATTTTCAGCTCAAATTTGGAAGTTTTCCACTGGAATGGCACTTCACAGATTAGTAGCTAAACGAATGTTAAAGTTAGAAATCCAACAATTCTTTCTGGTTTTACAGTTTCAGGCTCTGAAAATAGTATCATTTTGGCCTTTCTTTCTTTCTTTCTTTCTTTCTTTCTTTCTTTCTTGAAAAGATATCATGCCTTTTAAACTAACAGTGGGTTTTAATTTCCAGAAGGATTAAGGATTTCTGCGTAGAATACTTTGATACCAATTACAAACCAATGAGCAAACAACACATTTTACGTTGCAGCTTCTTCATGATCACTTATTGCTGATCTGCATCTGTTGTGTGCTATGAAAGATACTCAAGACTCTTGATAGCCAACAGACAGATTTGATTTACAGATTTACAGCTGTGCACCGGACTGTAGTTTGAATTTCCAGGCATTTATAGGTTGCATTAAGACCTTTTTGTCAAAGTTTTAACATGAAAACCTAAAACAGAGATTAACAATCATGCAAGGAATGAGGCGTCCCACATTTATGTCACAGTTGGACACTTTCTGTTCCTGTCAAACCCTATTTAAAAGCTAAAGTGCATCAATAAATCGACTAGATCTTAAAAAACACAAATTTAAAATGTTTTAAAAATCAGTTTTGTTACCAAGCTTTAAAGTCTTCAGGTCAACTAAACCCTCACATCTGCACCCGAAGCATCACCCTCCTCCTCCTCCTCCTCCTCCTCCTCCTCCTCCTCTTTTGTTCTTTTCTCTGTAAAAGTCAAGTTCCTGAGCCGTGGCCGATCCCTGCCTCCTGCCTTTGTCCGTGACCATGGGCGAGGAAGCACTTTCAGATTCCTCTTTGTGTGTCTGTGTGTGTGTGTGTGTAGAGATTGTGTGTGGGTGAGTGTAGTTTGCAGGCAATTTCTACACTGAACTGCAATCTAACTATTTTCTTCCAAAAAACAAAAGAAAAAAGTATAAAACAGTATATTCATAACCGTGTTTTTAGCCAATCGTAGCCTCTGATGTGTGTCATGCAGATCTCTCAGTGTGAATGTAACTTAGTCGATATAACAGTAATCAAAATCTTGGCATGTCATGAGTGAGAAAAGAATATATGCTGATTTTTTTCAGCTGGTTGAAGATGCTGTAAGTTACATAAATCCAAACAAGAGTCACAAAAGAATCCCAGTTGTATTACATTAACTTTTCTATCATTAATTCCAGTAATCATGTCATCTATTTATCAAAAAAAACGTCCATATGGTCAAATTGATGTCATCAGTAGATGATTTTCGGGGGAGAATAAGGGGGAGATGTCACTACCCCTGTTGTTATCCTGCCATTACCTGTTAACCTGTGTGTGTTGGTTGGTGGTGAGGACACAGAGAGTTACCACAACTGGACACTCTCCTCTATCAAAAAGCACCAAATCATCTCCTCAATGTTAACGAATGCCTTGTTTTAAAAATTTTTACTATTAGAAAATTGTCTGAGAGGTGACAAAGATTTAATCTGTTATCAGAACATTTGCAGATTGTTTCTTTGCAAATTCCAAAATTCAACATTTTTTTATACTCTTTCGTAATTTTTAAATTAGCTGAATGAGTAATGAGATGTTCTCTAAACGAAGTTGCATCTAAAGTCTGAATTCCTTCAGATTTCCACCCCTCAGGCCAGTTGTTTCCCCCCACTGCCAGTGTTCATACTGAGCTAAGTTAATCATCTCCTAGCTGTAGCTTCAATGTTTAGGTCTGGTTCTGGTTTAGCTAAACTGATGAAAATACAGATATGTGTAAGTCATCATAATTCTGGCACTGGCTGAATGCTATTTGGGTTGCAGGAATAACCCTGGCTTCATATTACTGTGCACAGATTGATCCAACTCATAGCAAGAAACGCTCAATATTGTCAGCAATATTCAGCGCTAGTCTTGTACTGAGCTGCCGCCACGTCTCCTTTTCTCTTCAGTAACGATTCACCTCCATTTAATCTCAACACACACACTATGTCAGTGATAATACGGAGGTCAGGGGTCAGGACGCAGTGTGACTTTTGAAATGATGTTGCATCCTCTGCTTAAGAACAGAAATGAAAACTGTTGAAACTCGCACACTTTAAGCCAAAGTAAAGCACCGAGGTGATTTAGCATGACAATCAGAGCCTGCTCTTTGTGTGTGTGAACTGAGGTGTGTGTGCGGGTGACACACCTCAGTGGTTCCTCTGCTCCAGCTGGATGGAGGATGGAGGAGGATGAAGGAGAGTCGGAAGCTTCCTCTTTCTGTTTGCAGTGATGTCATGGGGATTACAAACCAGGGTGACCTTTGACCTCCAGCGGGTCTGAACGAAAGGTGCTGAGATCAGCAAAACTCTGAGGGCTTGTGACATTTATTATTTTTGTTATTGTCAACGAATCAAACAAAGTGTGTTTATTCTCACACTGTAATTTATTGGGAGTCAAAACAACAGGCACCAATCTGCTGCTGGAAGTGTGGATTAGTCCACCACTTGGAAAAACACTGTTTACGGAAGCAGGTATTATGTAGAGGACATTTTATACACAAACGCAATCCGACGTGATTCCCGTAGCTCATTGAAACGTTTAACCCTCTGAAAACAAAAACCAGCACGCAGGTTGTTCTTTGAAATGAGAGAAATGAAACCATTTACTTGGCCAAACTATAAAAGCAGAATGAATCGTTGCATGTTGAACTTTCCAGTGGTCTTTAAACTAATGGTGTATAGTAACTAGGTTCTGTAAAAAAACAAAAGTCACGATTTATAGTTTCCTGACAGAATAGTTTATCATGTCATAAGTAAATGGATCAAGGACTGTCAGAAGGTTGAAAATCCAACAATTGTTTCTATTTTTACAGTTTCAGGCTTTGAAAATGGTGTCATTTTGGTACTTTTTTCTTCTTCTAAAGATAGCATGCCTCCATCAGTTAAAATCACCAAATCTGAGCTCAAAATCATTATATTTAATCAAAATCACTTTGTTTTACATATTTCATAAAAGAATGTGCCTAAAATAAACAATTTTCTCTTACCAGATCCTGTGGGGGAAAAAACACACCAAACAAAAAAACCTCAGTGGTGACCAACAGTGACACGACAAAAATTCAGGGAATTTTGGCTGCAGTGCAGCCTGTGTTTACACAGAGCAGACAGGAGATAAGCATGAAAAAAGCATTGTTTTTGCAGTATTGGTAAGACCTTGGAAAAATGTTGTACATGTTGATTCCAGGCCTTTGCATTTTTTGTAAAATAAGTCATCAAAAAAACTCACGACAGACGGGCAGAGAAATGGTTTTGGTCTCTACATACTGACAGATAGTCCAGGTGCATGAAGAATGTGCAGCATTAAATCAAGGTGCTTTTCATCCAGTTTGCATCCAGATTTTGGGTTGTGTTGTGTTCCAAACTGCAGCAATAGTCCTTCATAGACGTGTGATATGTAGCATTGCTGGTTTCATCAGTCTGTCAAAGCCTTCTGTCATCCAGACACGGGTCACTGTCCTGCTAGTGTTCTTTATTCAGACAGATCCAATGTTGGACTAGTAGTGTGGAAATACGTTACAAAAAAACTTCCCTAAATAAAAGCACTGTTGCTTGTACATGCCTGTCTGTTAATGGGATGGCATGCACTTCCGACCTGTGCCATGTTGAAAGTGGTCCTAAATGTTACCCAGCTCGACCCAGTAAGATTGCTGCTTTGACTTTCACAGAAAAGAAAGCAGGGGGCTCATTCGGATACGAAACCGCCACTTTCAATTACCGTCAAATGAACTGAAAGGCGTAGATGTCTTAACCCGTTCAACACTATAGCCCGGTATAGCGGACTCCAGAATATGGCAACTTTCTGTTACATTGATTTTGACTGTCTATCAGTGGGAATCAACGTATGTGAACAAGCGATTCAGTCATGAAATAAATTATGCAAATAGTAGTAATAATAATGATAATAATAATAGTTGCATTATAGGCATATGTCCCTGGTATTTATGAAGTTTGTATTTACCTTTTCTTTTTCACACCTGTGTTTCACCTGTATGTGTATGACAGGAGTAAACTTTGATAATATTTAACCATCAGCTTGTCTACTTTTGATTGATACCAGATATGTAATGATGTAAAATCTACTTAAGAATTTATGAGTGATTAATCAAAACCATATCTGATCCTAAATTTCAAGCCAGAGTTATTTAGTGTTGAAAGGGTTAAAGGGGGGTAATGAATGGTTTAGAATTTGCTGTGAATTGTACCTCATTCTCTTTATAGCAGGGTATCGTAGCGACACACACACAGAGTTCTCTAAAGTAAACAAATGTATGATAGACACAACATAAAGCTACGATAGTTATCCAGGAATTATAACCAGACTCCACAAGGATGAAAACACTGATTAAAGAACATGAAGAAGAGGAGCAGGCCGCTGTACCTCCTCTTCCTCCCCTGCTTCATCTTTCATGTGACGGCGACAACCTCCTTCTCCTCCGATACTTCTTGAACTGGATGGAGAGGAGGAGGAGGGAGACGAGTAAGAAGGTGAACTTTGGCCCTCTGTTTTTTTCTGCACTGCTTTGTCTTACCAAAGAACTCTAAAGACAAAGATTAGGAAAGGAGGAAGAGGAGTAACAAGCTGCAACCTTCCTCTCATTCTTCCAGAGGATGAAGGAGGAGGAGGAGGAAGAGGAGCGACCAGTCGTGACCTTCTCCTTCAGCTCTGAACATGACCCCGCTTTGAGTAGGATGATGAGAGGAGAGGAAGGGGAGCGTCTCCTCTTCCTCACCTTCATCAATAGGTGGTTGGCAAGAGGAAAGGGGAGCAGTGAGTCGTGTCTGAGCTCACGCCCCGTTTTCTTTCTCCATCCTAAGTCCATCTTTTCTCCTCCGATCCCTTTTGGTTCATGGCTGGCTGCTCTTCCTCCTCCTCCTCCTCCTCCTCCTCCTCCTCCTCTGCTGCTTAGGCTTTGTCTTTCTTAAGATAAAACAAGAGACGCAGCTGTGGAATTCGCTGCTAACATAATTCTTGCTGACTTTAACCTGTTTATCAGTGTGTGAGCTAAGCATGACTTTAGCAGTCTTCGTATTAACATGTACAACAATGAGAGCCATATACTGCTAAATCTGTAATTAACATCAATTTTGCTGTTGAAGTTGATTTTGACTTGTTGTGTAGTTGTTCATCAATTATCAGTCTTACAGTTTCTGGATCAAGCTGTTTATTTTTGGGCACATTTTTTAATGAGACATGTAGAATAAAGTGATTTTAATGAGATATCATGAGTTCACATATGCTTTGTTCAAGGACTGTCAGAAAGTTCAATACACGATGATTCTCTGGCTGAGATAAATGCTCTAATTTTGGTATTTGTTCAAAAAGATTAAATGTGTTTCAACACCCCTGGCAAGTTTAGGAATTTGGAGGGTTAAACTTTAGTAGTTAGTGCTATGGAGGTTGTTAGAAAAGGGGTGAAATGAGCACCAAAGACGTCTGTGGTAGACAGGGGGCCGTTCACAGAGAAGCCTCTCGTCCTTCCCCTGCAGCGCACACAGCTCTTGACAGGTGTGTGCCCAAAAATGAGCTTGAAATGGAGGAATAAGGCATTTAAATGTCAGATTTACCCAACGTGAAAGGAGTGATGTTATCTACTTGGACAGTTTTATATGAGCAGAGCATTTTAAATGTCAGTATTTCGTCAATTTAATTGTGGGAAACCCTGACTGGTGCTGCTCCTCATTATGTCACATAAAATACTTCAAACTGACACATGTGGATGCTACCAAATAGTTCTGAATTTCTCCAGCAAAGATGCCCATGCTCTCTGCAAAGCTCTTAGACTACATGTTAGTTAGACTTCTGAAGTCAACAGTCTCAGGCCTTAGACAGCTCTTTGTCTTAGTGTTTGCATTGATGGTCCGTCCTGTCGAATGTCCATCACTGTGTTGAAATGTACATGCTGAAATACAAGTAAATCAACATCGCTATGTTTCTAGAGCACTTATGATTGCAGATATGTGTTGAGATAGAATTATTTTGTCAAAGTATTTTTTGTACGTGCTGTTCTTAAGCTCTCTCTCTATCTCTTTGTCTCTCGTCCTGCAGACTGCTCATTAAACTACCCATTGGGGAAACATGTGATTCATGAAGTCACCAACATTTCCTTCAGCCATCTGGCCTGTGAGGACCAGGCTGCCGTGGTCGTCCACTGGTCTGCAAGTCCACTAGGTACTGTCCGTCTGTTCACCTGTCTGTCTACCTGTCTGGCTGTCTGTCAGCTTACGTGCTTCCCTGGAGAGACAGATTTTAGAGAGAGAGAAGAGGAAAAAGTTGAGGGAGGAAGAGCTGGAAAGTGCTCAAATCCGTAAGATTACCCGGCTCTGTGCACCCCTTTGATCAGGCCCAGAGAGAGAGAGAGAAAGAGGATCACATCTCACACAACAATACCACGATTTGACCGTGAAGGAATGTGTGTGTGCGCTCAGTGTAAGGTGAACCTCTCGCTCTCGCTGTGACAGAACAGCCTGTTGTTTCTCACAGAGAGGCAGAACTCTTCCAGAAATTTTCCATGTCACACTCACAAGTCAACAGCAGCTAGTTGGGCAAAGAGTGTGCGATCTACACAGTTGCTTTTGTAGGAGTGCGCTTTTCTTTTTCGTGGTCAGATGCAGGATTATTTCTGTTAATAAGAATATTAATATTAAGAATGGGGAAAAACAGATTAGAAGTAGTCAGAGGGTTGTGCTTGTACTTCTGTTTTGTTTTGCAGTAGTTTACATCAAGAAATTTATTTATTTTTCTTTCTAGTCTTTGAGTTAAAGTAAGTGAAGTTGGCGATATTGCGTCACTTTATGACTGTGCAACGGTGCCACCTGCAGAATTGGATATCGCTGTTTGCTTTGCAACTTAGAGTTTAAAAGTTCTGCTCAAATATTACTTCCTCACGGATCAGTTATGGTTTTAGTGGTTTAATATTTCACAAAAAAAAACCCTACCTTGTTTCAATGTACTCTTTGTTTTTGGAAATATAACAAAGTTAAAATCTCTTGAATCACAACAAAGAAAGAAAAAAATATTTATTTCACAAAATTAGAAAAAATTATAAATAATATGTGCACCAGTTTTAGAAGTGCCCACAGATGTTACCACTTCTGGGGACAAATGATGGCTCTGTGGACTGTAGAAATGTTACTGCTTTCATTTTAAATTTGCCTCCATACTTGTCTCATATCTGCTCTGTGTAAACACAGCCTGCAGTTCAGCTCAATTCAGCTGAACATTCCTCATGGACGCCCACAGTAAAATGGTCAACTTTAAAGCAGAAATAAACATGTTTACAGTTTGATACCAAAACGATTTTGGTCTCTGTCGCTAATTTTTTTGTTTACAGCAATTGCATGGGGGTGCATTTTGATGTAATGTTTAAAGTTGTGCATGGTTAAGGGCGTGGATTACATCAAGGAGGGTCGGTCGATCTTTATGTACAGTGCATAGTTCTGATTTGCATTATGAAGCTGCTTGTAAAAAATCCTAAGTGTAAACTCAAAAAATACTACAGTTTATTTTTTAAATATTGTTAAAACATTCAAATGGCAAATGAAGTAAAGCAAAATACAGTGAAGTGTAATGAAAACAGCCAACTGAAAGAAACAAACAATAGTAAATTTCCATTAAAGCTTCAGCTTCATCGGTGAGATTAAAAACAGAAGAAAACATCAGATCTGTTTGGAGCGATGAGGAAACTACAACCTTCCTCAAAGTAGCACGTATCTCATATTTTCTTATTTTCTTCAAGTTTTCTCTTTTTACATTTCTTTTCATTTTTTTTTTTACTGTTTGAGTTTTCTTTTAATCATGTCATCTCAGTGTGTCTTCTGCACTCGACTGAGAACTGGCACTGCATTTTCTTCTGCTGATTTTTATGAAATTTGGTCCAACTTTGTGCTGTGTTTGTGCAGCAGGCTGCAGTCTGTGGGAGTCGCCGTCCGAGTACGTTGTTGAAATGCTTTTGCTACTAAATTTACAACTTAAGTCCCCGCTGAAACATGTAGAGACTTAAGAGCAGGAAAAAACAGAAACTGAGGTCACATCTGCCGTCACACTGCTGCTGCAGTTAAAATGTTAAAATGCAAATCATCCTCGTCTCAGTGGAAGAAGACGAGAAAGAGGGTTGTTCAGAAATCCGCCTCAAGACAGAAAAACCTGTTCTGCTGCTGCTCGCTCTCTGTAATGCAGCTAATAGGAAAAACATGTCCGGTGGATGTAAAGGTGTAATTACAAGACAGATGTGTTCTCAAAGAGGAGGAGGAGGAGGAGGAGGAGGAGAGAGTGAAGGGAGCAGAGGAGGCCAGGAAACATGGCAGAAGCAGACAGGGGAGATAAATGCAAACAAAGGTGGAGCTACAAGGTCACAAGAAGGCGAAAAACAAACAGGAGTAGAGGGAAGGGAGCAAGGAGAGATGAGAGGAAACAAGGAAGGAAAAAGAGGACAGAAAAGGAAAGAAGTGAGTGAGGAAAGGAGAAAACGGAAAGGTGAAGACAGAGGATGAGGATGGATGTGGTGAGGCTGACCTTCCCATAATGTCTCTGCAGGGATTGAACACATTAAAGGCTTCAGAGTTTACCTGGAGGACAAGAATCCAGAAGGAAAACGGTGTCAACACCTGATCCTCAAAGACCCTCGACAGCTCAACTACTCCTACAGGAACACGGTAGGACTACACACAATCACTCACAACTCCTCCGTTTTTATACTTGTGTGTTTTCCTGCAGTTTCTTGGTGCTGAAGAAATAAGAGTACCAGATAGCTGCTGTGTTGATATGACGTATTCACCCCCCCCTGGTACTGCTTTCCAACATTGAATCATGGTAGATTTCATTTGGCTTATTTTGAAAAGAATTGACAAAAAATGACTATTTTTTAAGCAGATTCCTGTAAAGTAATGCCAATTAATGTAAAATATAAAGCATAAAAAAAAGGAATTGCAGAAGTTTTCACCCCCTTTGGGGCAGAATCATGATCTGAAATACAATTCTCCTCTCAGATTTAGTTAAACTCATGTGATCACATGCTCAGGTGTGCAAGGTTAAAGAGTCAGTTAAAATTAAATCTAATCATCTCTGCATCCTGTTTTTGCTCTGATTTATTTTTACCTGAAAGTTCTGACTGTAAGTGATGATTCAGATCTCCACTGCTTTGCCTTTCATTGAGTTTACACTGTGTGGACTTTTTGATCAGTGCTTGTACATCCTGGTAAAGCATTTATCAACGTATGATGTGGAAGCAACAGAACACCAGGACAGTAGCTTAAATATAGCAGAGAAAGCATACATCATCTGTGACTTGTGCACAGGCAACGAGCAATGAGTCCGTTAACAGTAACGATCCACAATCAGTCTGAACAGATGTAAATCCACTTCCTGCTACTGTCTGGTCCACCATGCTGAGTTCTGTTTGCACACTGAGTTATACCTCCAAGAGCAGTTTTATTGCTAAGCAGGTTTCCACAAGAGGAGTTTGACAGTTAACGCTGACAAGTCCAGAGTTTTTAACGAAGCATATAAAGATTTAAAAAGAACGCAAACCTTACAAGTGAAATTAACAGTAACTGTAGGATATCCAGGGATTGTAAAGTGATAAAGTAGTTTTTAATATTTATGATGCGCAAGAAATTTCTAATTATTTGCCTGAGAATGTACACATTTCCATGGCATACAGTGTTAATAACTTGATATGTGCAAAAGGTGTCAATTTAAAGCTGTGTTGTGAGTCCACTGAGCGTTCAGACCTAAAATACAGTTTTTTGTATTAGTAGTCAAATGTCGGTGTGTTTCCAGTAAAAAGCACCAGGCGAACACACACACTTTAATCTTTTAATGTACATCTGAGTGCGTATGAATCATCTTTTTAACATCTGTGGCCCTGAGGCCTTGAAATCCTTTCCTCACAGTGTCAGACAGGCTGAATGTGTCGACATTTAGGTCACTTCTTACAACCAAAGTTTATTGTTTTCTGGTTTGGATCGTTGTCGTCCTGTACTGTTGGTCTGTTGAAGGCCTGCTGTGCTGTGTGTGCTTACTGGTGTCTGCTTTTAGCTTCAACCTCCTCAGGGACTACACATGCAACCATTTTACCAAGTCTTGGCACATTGCATCACAGTTAACCCTTTGAACCCCCAAAACTTTTTTGCTCCTGTCACATTTCTGCTCACTGTGGGCAAAGTGTCTGCAGTTATTACCAATACTGGGGAATGTGGGGACTCTACATGTGATGTATATTTTACTGCCTAAGATTTTTTAATATGTTTTCATACTTTTTGATACCTGTGCAAACACTCTGCAGTTTAGCTGAGAAGTCCCTGATTTTTTGCCACATGACTGTTGGTTGTAGCTGAGTCACTGATAACTTCAGTTTTAAGTGATTTTTCCAAAAGAGGCATGTAGAGTAAAGTGATATTGATGATTTATTTTGATTTTAAGCTCAGATTCTGAGATCAGAGATGAGTGTTTGAAGGACTGTCGTAGGTTGAAAATCATATTGTTCTTTCTTTGTCTTCCTGTTTTTACAGTTTCTGGCTCAGAGAAATTGTGACATTTTATAAGTTTCTAGAAGATAATTTGCCTTTTCAAACCAGCAGTGGGTTTTGGGGCTCAGAGGGTTACTGTGCATTGTTCCTGATGAGTGAATAAAGCAAATACACGCAGATATTTACTCTAATTTACTCATATTGCAAAATTTTACTGTGACTGTTGCTCATTGTTTGCGACCGTCTGACTGTTGTAATCACGATCGTTGTGTTATTTGTGGATAATTTCGATATTTTCTTCACACAGAAGCTGAGCAGTCAGCCATTCAGCGGTTTGACGTTTGACACCGATTACATGGTTCGAGTTGTTCCCTTTCCTTCTCTGATGAATGAGAGCTTCTTCCCTCCATCCTTCCTCAGGACCAACTGTGAGTCCAGCCCTCCTCTGACCCACACCGGATTGATGAATTATTCAATTAAAGCATTTATTGTGTGAACTAAATGTCAAGTGTGTCCAACAATCCAATCTGTCTTGCTGCTAATGTGAAGAAATAACAGAGAAAACACTGTCAGAAGTTGAAAAAAGCATTTTAAAGGATGGCTGCTGTATATTTATGTAATTCAGATTTGCTTAAAAAGGAAAAATGCTTATTTACTGTCACACCAGAGTTGGAAGACAATGACTGCTGCATGCAGCATCTCAGAAGTCTTCATAGTTGTCATGGTGCCATGTTTGAGGTGTGGCTTTAAGTGGCCTGCTGCCTGGATTTCCACAGAACAAGACAGAACATGTCGACAACTTTGCATGTAGACAAGTTGCTGTCAGGTTGATTTTTGTTGGGCTAAATATTTACTGACTCTCTGAGTACTTGCCAAGGTGATGAAACTGATATCAATCCAGACAAAACAAAAAAGAAATGTAACAGCCACAAATGCCGAGAAAATTAGTTGAGACAGATGAGACAACACAGTAAGATCTTAACAAACTATTCCTGTGTGTGTTTTCCCTAACAGCGTGTGAAGTCCTCCTTGGATCGGACAACCTGGTCTGCAAACCATGTGAGTTCCTCCGTGTTGTTGTCATAACCAGAGCCACATGTAGACACTTCAGTCACTGGTTGGTTACATCAGTTTGTCGTTAATTAGTCTTTTTTTTTTTTTTTTTTAAACTTATTTTAAGTTTCCCCCTGTGGATGAAATGATTTCCTTCAGGACAAATTTAGCCACAAAAGATCTAAAGCTTGTTGGTATTCTACACATCCAACAGACTGAACAGCTCTCTGTATGCTCAGAGAGGAGAATCACAGACCCTTAATGCAAACATAAGTTGGCACATAAGATAAACCAGGAACTAAAATCTAACCCTCTGAACCCCAAGCAGTTTCTAAGTGTTTCCTTTTTTTTCTTATGTGACATTTTTACTCGCTGACGGCTCACTTTTTACTGCAATCTAAAGTCCTTCACCTCTGAGGAAATAGCACAGCTGTGGCTAGGAATAGGGAGAACTCAAAAATGTCTTTAGTGTAACAAAATTTTAATTTGTTGGATTATTTATATTACAAAAATCAAATTCCGTTGAATCAACATGTACAGCATTTTCCCAGTACTGGGAAAAACAGACTCTACATATTGTAGATATTTTCCTACTTACATTGGGACAGTCTCTGCACACTAAGCTTTTTTCACATTACTCTGCACATCAACTCTAGAAAGATATTTCACCATGCACAATGTGTCTTCCAACAGCTTGCTGCTCCGTATAACGTTTTTGAGCCATGTTGCATTTTTTTATTGATCAAGTTTATTTTCTTCTCAGTCTCTCCTTTTGTCTCCTCTCACTTAAAAAGTTGAAAAGTCAAGTGAAAAGTCAGCCACGGCTGCTCGGTGCCACTAAAGAGTGAAGAATTTTTGTTTATTTCAGCCTCTGGGGCAGTCCCTTTTTCTTTTTTTTCTTTTTTTTTGGTAAATCCCAAATTGAAATTTGTAGATTAAAGTGATTTGGATAGAATAGCATGATTTTAAGCTTCAGTTTGGTTGATCTTGTTCAAAGAGTGTTGGACAGTTAAAGTTGTGATGAACTTCTGATAAATTATGTCATTTTTGTGATTTTTTTTTAATAGATAACTTTCAAACTCACTGGTAGATTTTAGGGCGAGAAGGGTTAAGAACTTCAAAAAGGTAAATGAAAAAGTAGCTCATGTGTTTGTCTTTTAAAGCTACTTAGCTATTACTGTAGATTCCTAATAATGTTCCAATAATCAGCATGTGTGGTATGAACAGATAAAGACTCCTAATGATGGCAGCTTGGACATGCTGTTACTGATGTTGTAAATTTAATATAACGTACACACTCAGCACTCTGCTGCTGTCACGTTGTATTTTTAAAACATTTTCTTTGCTTTTGCAGTTGAGTGGAGGATATGGCTGGCCTGTTGGTTTTCCATTAACTGTAAACTAAAACAGGAGCAGAATAGAAAACTGAAAGACTAAAGACTAAACTAGATTTGATCATGTGTACATATATAACATTAAAAGCAGGAATATAGATGTGTTTGTCTTCCTTTGAGTTTTTTTCTTTTATTTGACAACAGGTCACATATTTAAGTACTACTGAATAACTTTAATTCTTCAGATTTTTTATTTATTTGCATGAAAAGTGCACATCCGTAAGAAGTTTTGTTTCTCTCTGTGCAGTCTGGAAGCCAAAGACCCTGAACATGTCTCAGCTTGGATCAAACCTTCACGTGGCCTTCGATCAGGCTCCGGCCTCCTTCGGCTTCCACTTCTACTACCTGTACTACAAGCTTCGGCAGGACGGGCCCTTCAGACTGCAGCGCTGCAAACCAGTAAGACCAACTGTGCTGTACATGTTTTTACATCACGTGTAAAAATATTGGATTCAGATTCAGCTTGGGCAGCCAGATTTATACAGCATCAGAGAAATGTGTGTATCACACCACACTGTCATGGTGAGGAGGAGCTGAGCCAGGAGACAAACCGGTTGGTCTACGTTCCAACCCTCACTTATGATCATTAGCTTTGGGTAGTGACCGAAAGATGGCTGCACCTTTGTGTCGAAAGGAGCCAGTTGGGATATTAAAGTCTCCTGGAAGACTCTCTTCAGAGGTTTTCTGGGCACATTCAGTTGGGAGGAGGCCCCACGGTAGAACCGAGTGGAGGGATTGCATATCTTATCTGGCCTGGAGCACTTTGGGATCCATCAGGATGAGCTGGAAGATGCTGCTTAAGAGAGGGATGTCTTGAATGTTTGTCACCATCGCATCATGAGTCTGGATAAGCAAAAAAATAAATCAATAAATGTCCCAAATCTGCACTGCATATTGATTCTAAGAAGGTTTTGAGTGAAATTACATATGAAAAGGGGGACGGTATTACTCAAAAATACCAGTGTGCCTACTGAGTACTGTCGGTTTTTGAGCGTCTAAACCAGTGTTACGTATGTTGCTGACTTACATGATCCCAAATGTTTCCAACAGTGTTCATGTGGTGAATTTCTAATCAGACTACCCACCCCCTGAGTTGCTCCAAACCAAACAATCATGAACACATTTGAGAAAAGGAAAAAATGGAACAGAGTCGGTGATCTTCAGTCCTCTCGTAGATATATTATACACCACACAGTGTAGCCTACAGCAAACCAAGACTGTCTGGACATCAACGGAAGTTGTCACAGAAAGCATGAATTTAAATAAGATTCTTTACTCTCCCGACGTGTGTCATAGATCTCCTCAAAGTTTGATTATCACCTAGTTTCACCTCCTGTCATGAGTTCATTATCTTTGCAGGCTTTGGTTTACATTCAAACCCTGGACAGTCTTTGTTTCCAGTCACAACTTGTGATTTGAATGTTTAGACTGGCAGAATGGCTCCTACCAATGACAGATGGAGGCCTCACCAAACATCCTTATCAAAGCTTCTTTTCAGACTTCACATGCTGACCATCGATTTCATGAGCCAAAAGATCTATCCCACCCATAGAGCTTTTTCTTATATGCACATGTCATCAGTACAGTGAATTATTGTGGTTGTCACTCTCTTCAGCACATCAATTAAACATATGTGAAACATAGTGCAATATTAGATATTCACCTGAGTTTAGTTTTCAACATTCAAACCCAAAAAAATGTTTACTTCCATTCTGTGTACGGTGCTTTTTATTCTGGTCGCCTGCCAATGTTGTCATGTTCCCTTTACCAGCTGTAGCAGTGCAGAGGGTCAGTTAGATAGGTTAGGTTAGGTTTCATGTAGTAAAAACTGTGAATTTGTTGCTTACTTATGGTAAAAATGTGAGTTTTTGCTGTTTTTTCTTAATGCTGTAACTTTTTGCAGGATGTGAACCAGCCCAGAGCGACATGCATCCTCCAGGATGTCACTCCAGGGACCTACACTATAGAGGTACAGAAACGCAGCACAGCACCAAACTTCACTTACAGTTTAATCACCAGACAGATGTTTGCGGATGTAGTAAACTGGTTAAAATGGGCTCTACTGAAATGTACTGTTCACCCTTTATGAGCAGATTAAAATGAAAAACTGCAAAACTTATTTAAAGACTGAAATTTTCAGTTTCACATGTCAAATTTATTGATGTATAAATTTGTCATTTTCCCTCTTCTGCTCCTTCGTTTTGGGTCAATGTTGTTCTTTTTTTTCCTGTGCGTCAGCTGAGAGACGACAGTAACACGACCAGGAGGCAAACACAGTACCATGTCAGCCAAGGTGAGACACACTCACGTCATGCAACACTATATGAATAGCACAACAGGCAAACCTGTCCAAGATGCAGCTAAAGATTTTTTTTTTTATTGATTTTTTTTTTAATTAAATGTCTAATTTCCATAACCCAACATGCTGTTTTTAAATGTAACAGCAGTAACTTCATGAATTACTTATAAATTATCCCAGACATGGAGACAGAATCTAACAGCCAAAAGCAGAGAAGTGACCTTAGTCTGTATGACCGACTGTTGTCACTTCAACACACTGATGAAGCACCAATGTTCCATGTCCCAAGTCTGAAAAGGACTTAAGTTGCCATTTTCCCTTTTATTCCCATTTTTTCTCTTTCCTTTCTCAGTTTTCCTGCTTTTCTTTTCTTTCATCAGTTCCTACTAGAAGCTGATTGAATGTCAAGTCAATACTTCCAGCTCATCCTTTGGCTCCATCACTGTTAACCTGACCAATAACAGACCTGCTGTCATTTGTGTGTTAACCGATGTCTCACGCTGGGTGTGTTTGTTTCATCCTCCAGTCCATTCCCCCTGGGCGGGACCGATCCGTGCCATGGCCATCACGGTGCCTCTGGTCATCATGTCGGCCTTCGCCACCCTCTTCACTGTCATGTGTCGTAAGAAGCAGCAAGGTAAGAGAAACCAGGAGGAAAATTTAAAAGAAGTGTCTTTATCCCTTTTTAAGCCTCTGAAGAGCATGTTAAATATCCAAAATGACACCATTTACCAGCCAGAAACTGTAAAAACAGAAGCATTCATCAGATTCTCTCGACAGTCCTTGAACTAATCATCTGTGGCAAACTGTTTTGTTGGAAAACTAAAAGTAAAAATGTGAAAATAAACTCGCTGCAAAAACTAGATTTTGCAAAATACACAAAAGTGTACATCTCTCAGTACAACTGTGAAACCATTAGTGATCAGCTCCAACGAACAGTCGTGACAATATTTCAGAGACACCTGGGCACTTGTAAAAATGTTGTACATATTGATTCCAGGTTTTTAAAATATTTTGCAAAATAAGTAATCAAAGAAATTAAATTTCCATTTTCTCTTTTTTTTTTATCATACTTTTTTGTCGTGCAGTGATGCATTGTTCAGACACTCAGGTTACCCCAAGGAGGATTTTTAATGTCTTTGAAGAGTCTTCTTTCTGCAGCAAGTGGTTGTAATTTCAAGTTCTTGACATGTTAAATAATAATAGTCTTTGTCTATAGATAATTTTTTAAAGTCCAAGTGTTCCACAGGGCAGCAGATATAAGAGAAAAGTCGTAAAATTGTCAGAGATAAAAGCACAATGTGGTGTATCAAAACCAACTAGTTTAAAGAGGTATAACATCACTGAAAAAGTAAAGACAGCTTAAAGACACGATGAACTTAAATATAATCAGAAAAAGGCTCTCAGATAAAAGTATGTTATAAGGAAGAGACTTAGAAGATGTCACTGTCTCAGCCGACCCGATTTCCCTCAGACAGATTGTTCCAGAGCCTCAGGGCCCTGAATGCAAATGCTTTGTCCAGTTTAGTTTGTAGCTGGGCCCCTGAAACAGATAAAAGGTACCAGTAAGTCAGAAAGATTAGAAGAAGGGCCATGAAGGCCTTTAATAAAATTCTAAAATCTATCCTGAAACCTATCAGCCTATCTGTTTCTACAAGTGAGAAGAGGCTGAACAGGAGTGATGACATTGTGGTTAAAAGCCTGGCAGCTGAGTTCTGAACTAACTGGAGTTGATCTGTAGCAGTAATCCAAATGTGTGAAATAAAAGCATACATACAATTATAATGATTGAATTTCTGTCACTGTTATTGAAGTGTATGGCTGTTTTCCTTTTAGAAAACATCTACAGTCAGCTAGATGAGGAGAGCAGCGAGTCGTCCAATCACAGTGCGGCGTTGAACACCGACCGGCCGTGGCCCCGCCCCAAAGTCTTCATCTGCTACTCCAACAGAGACTGTCCCAAACACACCAACGTCATCCAAAGCTTCGCCTACTTCCTGCAGGACTTCTGTAACTGTGAGGTGAGACAGTGAAGCCTGAACCAGAGACTGGCTGAATGGAGGATGATGATGATGATGATGATGATGATGATGATGAAGAAGAAGAAAAAATATATTGCGTGTGGTTGTGAAATCTTTGTTTGCTTCTGTTCAGGTTGTGTTTGACCTCTGGGAACACTTGGAGATGTGTAAAGAGGGGCAGATGTCGTGGCTCAGCCGACAGCTGGATGAAGCAAATTTTATCATCACTGTCTGTTCCAAAGGCCTCCGGTACGCTCTCTGCTGCACCGTGTCTCTAAAAACAGCCAAAAAACAAGATCTGCTGCTGATGTGTTTGAAATGTTCTCAGCTGCAGTTTCACCAATGGCCACTAGATGATGCTAAGTGCTGTTTTCTGTTTTTAAAAAAATTACATTAAATAAACAAAACACTATTTCAACTGTAAAATAAGGAGGATGTTCTAAAATCGTTTTATTTAACTATGTTAAGGCTGAAGTCATGTTTGAGGTATTTTGTGCTTTGACAGGTGTGTTCCTGCTCTGTCGTTATGTTTTTTTTTCTGTTTGTTCTTTTTCCATCTTAGATCTTTAGGGCCTTTCTGCTTGGCCATCTCTAATTGTCTTATTATTTTTTTTATTTTTTTTTACTGTAAACTATGGATATTTAATTTGTTGATGGGCAAATTAAAAAAACAAATAAATAAAAATGATCTTATTTGAGTATTTGATACATCAAGCCAATTTTTTTTTTGAAATATCTTTCTAAGTATCCATATTTTATGCTATAAAAAATTCTGACAAATGAGACATAGTCGAGCAGAAATTGTTTTCTAAAAACTGGATAAGTTATGATGGAATGATGGATTGAGACTAATTATTATTAATGGCAATTCTTCCTTGATTTGTAATGCTACAGTAAGTTGAGCCAATAAATAGCAGCAGTAGTTTAGACTTCTCTGAGCTGAAGGAGCTAACCTGTGTGTTCCACTTTGTTGAAGACCTGGCGGCTATGATGGATGTTTTTTCTATAAAACTTAATAACATGATCTGCACCAACATTCTTTAGACTACGACATTAATCTTTTGTTGTATTTCTTTATTTTATTTTAGTATTTTTCCCTGTGTTGCCTTGCATTGTTTTCTATTTTAACTGGTTCCTTCGTCTTCCTGCAGCTACTACATGGAGAAGAAGAGCCGCCGAGGAAAGACGCCAGTCAGTCGTCGTAATAACAGCAGCAGCAGCAGCACTTCTGTCACTGGTGGGTCAGGCGGTGACCTGTTCATTGTGGGCGCGGCCATGATTGCAGAAAAGCTGCGGCTGGCGAAGCAGAGCGAGGGGGGCGGAGCTCAGGAGCTGAACCGCTACATGACAGTTTACTTCGACTACTCCACGGAAAACGACATCCCCACCATGCTGAGTCTGGCTCCCAGGTAGAAACTCAACAGCAGCAGTTAACACTCTTGACCCTGAGCAGTTTCTGGGTGTTTGTTTGCTCCTGTCACATTAGTATTCATTGTGGCCTCATTATTTACTGCAGTATAAAGTCCTGCACTTCTATGGAAACGCCACAACCATGGTTAGGAGTAGAGGGAGCTCAGAAATGTCTCTTGTGCAATATAGTAAAGTGATCCCTCCATAAATATACAAAAAGTAAACACAAAAGTTACATTTCTATGTTTTTGAACATCAAAACATGCAAACATCCTGGTAGACTCCAAAGAGCTCATTCTAAACCTGTTTTGTGCATGTTATGGGTTCTTCAACCTTTTGAGCTCAAAGTAGTTTTTAAAACTTTTTATTCCTGTCATGTTTTTTCTTCACTGTCGCTATAAAACCAACACCATAATGCCATAACATGAACTAAAATAAAAAGATAGACTTGTAATCAATATTTTTCTAAGTTCCTACAGGCATTACCAAGACTGGAAAAAGGGGTGATTCTACAGACTACAGATTGTTTTGTATTTTTAATGTATATGCTCTGTTTAAACACAGTCTGCAGTTCATCCCAGTGAAGCCAAAAGACAACTGAATTTTTGTCCTTTGACTCTTTGTACATCTGATTCACACCAATGAGTCTTAGGAGTTTTTTTTTTTTTTTAAATTTCAGAATCTGGTTACAGCAACCTGTTTCTTATGGAGAATCTGTAAATGTGACATGTACAGCAGACTGATTGTGATGAAATATCAGCATTTTAAGCTCAGATTTGCCTACATTTACACGTTACAGATAAGTAGTTTGAGAACCATTTTTACCGTTACTGACTCTGATAAGTAGTTGTTATTTTGGCAATTTTGTAAAGACAACATGCCTTTCAAATCTACTGGTGGGTTTAAGTGTTCAGAGTGTTAACCAAGAAAGTAACTGGAAGATGAATCAGTCCTTAAAATCATCATTGAATGTGTTTAGGTTCAAGTTGATGGACCAGCTGCCTCAGCTCTTCAGTCGGCTCCACTCCAGTCAGTCCAGTCTGGCTGAGCGTGAGCAGCAGCCGCTCAACGTGTCCAGGAGGAACTACTTCAGGAGCAAGTCTGGACGCTCGCTCTACGTCTCCATTTGCAACATGCACCAGCACATCAGCCAGAACCCCGACTGGTTCGAGAAGCAGCTGTCACCTGCAGGAGGCACCTCCGCCTCCTCTGACTCCCCCTCCAAACAACCTCCTCTCCCTGCTGCTCCAAGTCCTCCCCCAAAGCCTCCCTGCTACTCCTCATCTCAGCCCGAGCAGAGGTTCGACTCTGGCCTGGTGCTGAATGAGGTGGTGGTGAGGACGCCGCCGCTGGAAGGCAGCGATAGAGCCCCGAGGAGGAACATGCTCCTGCTGGCCCCTGGCTCCAGTTCCAGCCTCAACCTTGGCCCAAGTCCCAGTCCCAGTCCAGGTCTCTGTCCCAGTCCAGGTCTCTGTCCCAGTCCTGGGCTGTGTCCTAGTCCAGGCCTGCCACACTGCACTCTGTCTGCGCTGGGACCAGCTTCAAGGTAATAATACCACCTTCTTTTTTAACCTCCTGAGTTCAGACTAACACAACACCATCTGACTGCTGCTGCTGTTTGATTCTTTCAGGTCAACCTCTGGGATATCTGGACTTTTACCTGAAGAGCCTTCCTCCTCCTCATCATCCTCAGCTGCCTCCATTCTGCAGGATGAGGTGTGCCCTGTCCCCGCCCAGCCAGAGGAGAGCTGTCCTTCTGCTCCTGAGGTCCCGCCTCCTCGGGATTCGGGTATCTATGATTCGTCTGTCCCCTCTTCAGAGCTTTCAATTCCTCTAATGGAAGGACTGTCACATGACCAAGCAGACTCCTCCTCCTTGGCTGACAGCGAATCGTCTTCTTCTGGGCTGGGTAAGGCAGTTATCTGTCGAATACAAGAACCTCACCTGATGCATCTTGTATTTGAAATATTGTTCTGCTATTAGCTTTCAGTTCCTCATGTAACTTTGCCGTAAATAGCTGACCACATGTTTTTCAGGGGACGAGGAGCCACCGGCCGTCGCGTCGCTCCGCTGCAGCGCCACCGCAGTGTGTAAAGCCGAGCTGCACCACCATCACCACAGCGACTCTCTCGCTCCTGTGGCATCATTGTAGAGGATGCCAACAGCCAATCAAAGGAGGACCCAAAACTGTACTGGTCTTAGCCCTGAAAGTGCTGTCATCCCCATGGAAACAAAACTGGAAGACATTAAAGGCATTGGAGGAACTCATATGTGGAAACAAAGTTCTAGAACACGAGTTCTTGTCAGCTATGGAGACCACTATGTTGTAGGACTCGCCTTTGCATTCTGAAACACTAACTATGGCAACTATGGTGACACTACTTCCTGGTAATCATGGCAACCACTGATGTTAAACCTGTAGTCCCTACTAAATGTGGTAAACACCACTGTGTTTCTTGAATACTGTTACCTCGTAGCTATGGAAACCCCTTCATTTTGAAACTCCATTCCCCAGAGTTTATGGTAACAATGCCGTTCTGCAACATTAGTCCATGGTAACTATGGTAACCACAAAGTTCTAGGACCATATTCCCTGGTCACTGGGGTAACCACTGGGTTGTAGAACATTGGTCACAGGTAGCTGTGGTACTTACTGTGTTCTAGAGCAATAGCCCAGCTAACTATGCTAAATACTGAGTTCCACAATGTTGACAACTACTATGAATGAGGTAAATACGGAGTTCTGAAACACAAATCCCTGGTAACTATGGAAACCACTGCATTTTTCGAATAACAGTCCTATTAACTATGGGAACCACAGAGTTCTGGAACACTACTTCTTAGTGGACCTTTGGTAATGACTACATCTCTGAATACCAGTCCAGGTGACTATGGTACCAACTGAGTCCTCAAACAGTAGTGCCTCGTCACTGTGGTAACCATTGGGTTGTGGAGCATTTGTCACTGTGGTAACCACTGCATTCTGGAGCAATACCCAAGTAACTTTGGTAACCAATGTGTTCTAGAACGTTGACAACTACGATAACTAAAATAACCACTGAGTTCTAGAACCATAGTCCCTGGTTGCTGTGGTAATCACTGAGCTGCAGAACCTTGGTCACCAGTAAATGTGGTAACTGCTAAGTTCTGGAGCTTTACTCCCTGGTAGCAATGATAGTGATGCATTTGTCCAAATAACGAGGATAACTGCCATGTTCTGGAGTGATGATGATTCCACTAGCTAAGGGAAACACAGAGTTCATGAACTCTGCTCCCTGGTAACTATGGTAAGTGGGTCATCTAGAATGCTAGTCTCTGGTAACTAAGGTACTTTGTTTGTACCACTGACCCACCTGCCTGGAGGGTTTTTGAAGGACTGGATCTCCAGACGCAGGTGGATCAGAACCAATCAGTTCAAACCAAAGACTGCCTCGGCACTGCATACTGATGGATGGATGGATGGATGGATGGATGGACGGATGGATGGATGGATGGATGATTAGTGACGGCTGACTCGTGTGTTTGGGTAGAAGTTCGGTACCAAAACAAGACTCTGAAACAAACTGCATGTTTGGATGCAGAAATGCGAGAAGGCACAGGATCGCAAACATGTTCAGATGTGGCCCAGCAACAACATTCAACAGGATCAAAGTAGCTGAGTGCTAAATGCATGAACACATAAAGGACATTGAGATTTTGGCAACAGGAGGCTTTTTGTACTATTACTTGTAATCTCAACATTTTGGACCTACAACAACAATTTCCACAAAACCACATGAATACTGTTTTTTTCTAAAGTTGCAATACCTTAAATGTGCCTTTTTATATTCAGAGTAGAAAGGGAAGGAGCATTGTGGTACTATTGAAGACCTGTCAACAATGGTACCAACACCTGATAATGTGACACGATGTGGGACAAGAGCATACACTTGTGAACTGAAATGTAGTTTCTTTTCACTGCATCTTAATTCAGACAATAAAATTGGCATTTATGCATGATAAGATGTGATTACATTAAGCTTTTATGGTATTGGATATTGATGTTACATTTATAGATGTACATTTCCTAATATTTTGAACTAATTTTCAGACATTGTTGCAGGAAGCAGCAAAGATGAGGGGCTTTGGTTTTAAAAATGACCAAATTACTTTAAATAAGGCGAGTTCCTCCAGGACAATGAAAGGTTGACGAGTTTGTCAAATGAAATGCTGAAATGATGTCACACTTTGATGTATTAAGTCAAAATTCTGAGAAAGTAAACACAGTTTTTTACTTTTTATGTCAGAATTCAGCAATGACGAACCATTATTTCTACTATAACTTGAAACTTTTATGTGTCTCCTATTATTTTGACTTAATTTGAGATTTTTTATATAAATGTAATAGCTTCTGTAAGTCTTTTTTTTTTACATTTTCCTGACTGGGCCGTTGTTGATCTCTTGTACATATTTCATGATAGTCAGAGGACACTGTGACTATCAGTTACTGATTTTTTTTTTTTTTCTTTTCACGATCAGCAACTGCACTTGGTTTTCTGGATCAAAAATCACGAGTCCTGTGTTTTTTTAAGTGTTGATAAAGTCCTTTTAAAGTGTGTTTTCTGACTCTAAGTTGCTGCTGAAGGCTGAGGATCGATGGCTTTTGGTTCATCCACAGGTTTGAGTTGTTGGAAGGAAGGACTGAGCATTTCCCACTTGTAAATATTTGTAGTTTTCTCTGAAAATGTCTGATTTTATTTTGTATAGACTGTCATTTTAGTATTTTTTTCAAATTTTAAAGAAATATCTTTTTAGAGCTGTACTGTTTTATAGTACTTTAATTTAGGAAGTAAATAAATCCATCTATGAAAACCTTCTTCTGTTCATATTTTCTTTCGGTCACTGACTACTTACTGGGAGTTTATAGGAATCCTGTTGGTGTTCACATGGACGACTCGTAGATTTTTACATTTGCAGCAGGATGCAAAGCTCATCTAGCAGAAAAGCAGAAGAACTGTTGCTGGAGAAACGTTGGCGCTCAGTAAACCACTGTTTGTTCTGTTGTCTGTCGTTTGCTTCGAGCTGACTAAGAGGTTTAACTTTCTTCTAGTGAAACACTTCAGTGACACAAAAAGCAGCAGACAGCTCCATAGTGTGGACGCTGTGAGGCATCAATGCTTAAAACAACACGAGCCTGTAAAACTCACAGATGGTGCTCAAAGGCACAAAGTCAGACAGTCTGCACACGGCCAGCCTTCAAAATAAAGGCACGAGCTTCAGCTTTATTTCCGTAATTTCTGTTTGTATTGGATTTATGTGAATCTGCTCAAGATGTTTCTCTTTAAAGCAGGCAAGCGAGTTTATTTACTTATTTATTTCTTTACATGGAAAAACAATCAAAACATGGTGGACGTGAAGCAACAAGTAAAATACAGAAGAAGAACAAAAACATGCAAATGATGAAGTAAACAGGAAAACAGGTAGAATTATATAAATACATGTGCTGAATAAAGGTCGTGGCAGTTGACATCACACTTTATAAATGCAGCTATTTGTAAATTAAACTAGAAGACATCTCCAGCTCTTATTTTGACACGTGGGGAGTTTCCGCTCTGACTTAACTTCATGCAACTTGATCATTTGCACAAACCAAGAATCACAACGACTCGGTTTGTTGTTGAGCTCAGTGTCCGAGCCCGAGTTTCACTTTGACTCATTTCAAAAGAGAGAAGTTTCCGTTTTTAATTCACTGGACGAGCGACAGAAGCTGGAAACGTCTACTTGTTTGTTTGTTTGTTTGTTCGCGTGTTTTAAAAGATAAACAAACCCCTGATCGTGAGGCTGTTGTCGGATCTCTGGGAGGAGCTGCAGTCCGATGCAGGCAGGTGATGGATGTCAGCGGGGATCCAGGTGAGGACAAGCTGCTCTGGTTGTGTACTGAAGTGTGTGTTTTTGGGGGGAAGCCCGTTTGAAATGAGAATAAGAATGAGGACTGTGCAGCGCTCAGAGGCAGGCAGGGAGTTAACTGTGCCTCTGCCAAGCTGTTGTTTTATGATGAGGCTGTGTGCAGGACTTAAAGTCTGTGGTGAAGGAAGAGACAGAAGAAAAGAGGTTTTATGGCTGTGAGTCACAAGTTTGCCTCAGTGTGAGCAAACACACTCACTGTGCTCTAAATCCAAACCCAGACCAGGACCAGGCTGCTCACTAAGTTCAGTGGTCCTGATAACCAGGATCAGACCAGTCGTTTTGCTTTTGGACCAGCTTTTTAAAGCAACACTGGGATCACTGCATTACTCCAAATGGGAGTCATGGCAAGTCCCAAATGGTGGAAATCCATTTTTATTGTGTTTTGTTTGTCTTGTTGGTGTAAATCAAAAACGTTGAGAATGATATTTACCACATGGTTAACTACAGACTCTCAGTTTCCATGTGATAGTTGAGGAACTGATAGTCATCCAGCTCGGACTTTGTATGATCCTGCCCCCCTGCTATCTCTAAAATCTCTCAGAGTGCACAAAATGCTCTGCTATTGGCTGCAAGAGGGAACACATCAGTCCTCGTGCACTCCCAGCACCTGAGGACATGAGGGCTCAGTGCATTACTTTTATTTTTTATGGAAATGTCACAACAACAGGATCATCCTCGAGGCTAATGTGGCTAACATGAGCTTTTATGGTGTGCCCACAATTCAGAGCTCTGTGGAAACTACAGCTGAGGGACTTTCAGAGATGGTGGGAACTTTAACTTAAAACCAGTAAACAAGGACTGTGTGAGTCGCTGTGTTTTCATGTCGACTGTTGTGCTTCAGTGAAACCTAAACTCAGCTGCTGTTGACATCTGTTGGCTTCTCTCCTGCTCTCTGGGCTCACACAGACTGCATTTTTATTCCCTGCTAAGCTGTTCTCATTTACATATTACTGTGTTGTCAGTGACTACATACTACAACAGTGACTACAGGCAATCCAGTCACACTAAATGTTCACCAGCAGTCAGCTGACAGCCATGTCCAAGCTCCACCACTAAAACACTGACTCTATAACTGACATCAACTGACAAGCTCACCAAACACAAAGCTTCAAAGCAACTGTTGTGCTGTCAGTTTGTTGGTCTTTTCCTGTCAAATGAGCTCTTTAGAAGCAGTCATTGGTTTTGCTCTGGGCTGTCAGTCACAGACAGTCTTCTTCCTGAAGGGGCTCAGCTTCATTTAAAGCCACAGTCTGCTGAGAACAGGACTGACCAGGGCTTATACACTCAGAGTGAAACCAACCATCTTTGCGGTATTATAAGACACATTCTTGGAACATGTGAGACTTTTTGAAGTGATTTGCTAAATAGGAGCACAATTTTCAACCTTTAAAGTATTTACAGCGGATCACTTTGAGGAGACAAACTTTGACTTTATTGCACTGAAAAGCCAAACAGGAAGCCTGATGTCTGCTCTGTCTGGACCAGTTCAATAGATCAAGAGCAAAAAATACATTCCTGTATGTACTGTTTACTACATGATAGAAATAGTGTATTATTTGATCAGTTCTCAAGTTTTGTTGGATACTGTTCCTGAAACCATTCAGGATCAGGACAGTCCTGATGGACTGGGTCATAGGCTTCTCAGTCCAGACAAAAGGTTCTTAACAACACATACTGAATGTTTGATCCAGATCAAAGCCTAGATTGGATTACATGATCTAATCCAATTTCAGCATCCCCGCCCCCTCCCCTAAAAAAAAAACAAAAACATTTTGAAGATTTAATCCCATGTGATAGCTGAAATCTAGTCGACTAACTGGGCCCACATTCTATAATAAGGAACCTTAAAGCCAGGTCTGAGGAGCAGTTGGGAGTCTCACTTCACAAATATTTCCCCCTGACGGTGTAGAACTCAAGTCGGTCCTCACATTGATAACCACAGAGTTGTGTAGAGAAGCTGCTGTGTTGGCAGTTTGGTGTGGAAGTTATTAATTTGTTATTCAGCTCAAAGTCAGCTGATGAAGCTGCTTTATTAGAGGCCGAAGCACTTGCATTTTCTTTTCATGCCACTCTGCTGTAATACAGAACCACATATTTATGACTTCTGTTCTGGTTTCTCTACAAAATCATTGTTTTAAAATCAAACGTGCAGCAAAGCTGACGTGGGCTCTACAGGGGAACCCAACGTGATGCTTTAAGGAGTTTCTTGTCCAGTGGAGTTGCGGTCAGGAAAGTGGACTAAAGTCTGTGACACTATTCTGTGGTTCTTACAGTGTAAAAAATACATTTTTAGGACACCCCTATAGCTCAGCTGGTTCAGCAGGCAACCCATTAACAGGGGCTGTAGTCCCCAGCAGGCCAGAAAAATCATCTTTTCCTAAAAAAAAAAAGTTTTTAACAGTTCTTATCTGTATTTTATTTTTTATTTTTTAAAACAATGAAAAAAAAACAACCAATTGACTGTTATTTTAGAGATTTTCTCTGTTTTGTCAAATTACAGATGAATAAATAAATAAATAATTAGTCAAAACTGTAAATAAAGTCTACATTTTAAAAATCTATATTCTTACAAATGATCATTAATAATTTGTATTATCTGTTTAATCTGTTTTTACTTTAAGTCAACAAAAAGTTGACCATAAGATTACAATATTTTTTCCCCCACTGTATTTAAATCAGCAAAAATATCATTATTTTACAGATATCTGTCAGTATTTTTGTAGTTTGTACAGTTGTTGAACTTTTTTTTTTCTTTTTTTTACCATCCAGCTCAAAGCTTCGACGTGTGTTTGGCCTCGTTTTCCTGCTGCAGTTTGAATGTTGCTGCACAAAGCAGAGTGTGCAGCTCGTCTCTGAAGCCTGAACCTCACCTCAGTCAGGGTCCATTCAATGCACATTTCTTGTGTTACTGCATCTCATCTGTGACTGGGAGTCATCAGTAAATCTGACTTTTTCCATCATCCACTGTGAAATGCTGCTCCGTCTTAGCCTACTCTGAGTGTTTCTCCTCCTGAGAAATGGTTCAGAGTCGCTCCTCATCCTCTGAGAAATGACCAAACAGCCTTCTTTTGACAGGATTTTTACTGATTGGAGTCTCATGATCCTAATTTAGTAAATTATGTATCTGTGATGGAGCAGCTGTTTCTTTTTCTCACTGAACAAAACCCGACGTATTGATCCTGTGATGGTGCTCAGTTTGATACGTCATAGAAAAATCTGTCATTTTAGAGAATTCTTCCTTTTTTGCGTTGCAGATTTTTGCCAATTGATTTATGAAAATATT